TCAGCCATGCTCTTCGGCTTCTTCCGCGTCTACCTGGCCACCTGTCGGGTCGCGATCGGCTACTTCCGCGGCTCCTGGGAGGCCCATGCGCAGGCCAGCAAGCTGCTCTTAGTAGCAGAGTAGGTAAGCTTTGACTTTTTGGGGCTTCCAGTAATCCCTAAACCCTAAACCCTAAACTCCCCAAACCCTAAACCTCAAACTCCCTAAACCCCTAAACTCCCTAGACCCCTAAACCCTAATCCCTAAACCCCTAAACCTTAAACCCCTAAACCCCTAAACCCCTACATTATCTAAAAGGCCAAACTTTAAGTTCCTCTACAATACTAGACAACTAAGTGTGTCATCAGCATTTGATCATTAGCACTCGGGGTTTAGAGTTTAGGGTTTGTCAGTCTTGTCCAAACTCATTGTCATCGTCAGCATTGTTGTCCAATTGTGATTCTGGTTGTGGCTTTCGTGCTAGGAGCTTTGTGTTGTAACGACTGCGACTGTTATTGTCATTGTCGCTCTCATTGGTGGTGGTAGTGGTGGTGGTGGTGGTGGTGGTAGTGGTAACAGCAGCAGAAGAAGTAGTCGTGGTGGTGGCGGTGGTGGTGGTGGTAGTGGTAGTAGTGGTGGTGGCAGTAGCAGTAGTAAGCGTATGCGTAAGCGCAAGGGTAAGAGTAAGAGCAAGAACAAGTAGCAGTAGCAGTAGTAAGCATAAGCGCAAGAGTAAGAGTAAGAGCAAGAGCAAGAAGCAGCGGCAGTAAGCGCAAGAGCAAAGAGTATGAGCAAGAGGAAGAGGAAGAGGAGTATTATGAGTATACTGCTACCACGACTGCTACTACGACGACTGCTACGGCTATGGCTGCGACTATGACGACTACGTCTACAGTTGCATTTACGACTACGACTACGATTGCGGCTACAGCTACGACGACGACGGCGACTACGTTTACTGCGACTGCGACTACGACGACTACGACGACGACGACGACTACACTTACGATACGACTAAGACTACCGCTACCACGACTACTGCGACCACCACCGCCGCCGCCGCGATGACGACGACGATGACGGTTTCTCGCTGCATATTACGACTTACTATTATACTACTTCCTGTCATTATCGTCATTGCATCATGCAGGCCAGCAAGGAAGTTCAGGAGGAGTGTGTGCCCCTTAAGACGGGGCCCACCGCTGTCCTCAACGTCATCGCATACATGCCCTTCATGCTCGTGCTGAACCGGCTGGCAGGCCCTGAGCCTGAAACTGCCGTGAACTCTACATTAAGGGTTTAGGGTTTATGTCAAACCTCGATTCCTGAACTCCTTGAACTAATCCCTAAACTCAACCGTTCGCCGGACAAATCCTCAACTCTAAACTTTTTGACCTTTAAACCCTGAACTCCAATCCCGAAACCTCAAACCCTGAACCCCAAACCCTAAACCCCGAAGCCCTCTAGATCGTCAGGGTTCTCGCTGGAATACCAACGCTTCATCGCCATCTACTCCTTGGCGCCCATGCTAGTGATGTGTTTGTGCTACTACTACTACATCTTCCGGGCAAACATGTTCCAGTTCGGCGTCAAGGAGGTGGCGGGCTGGATCAACAACTGGGTCATGGGCACCTAGGTTCTTGTTCAGGGGTTGAAACGAAATCGCCACGATGAGGGAGACATGCTTTTTTTTCCAGGTATCCCAGTATGGTATCCGAATTCAAAGTCCTTCACGAGAGCCGTATGTACAGCTCTGATAAAACCCTATCAAAGCAAAGGGCACCTTAAAAATCAGGCGCGGCAGTTGCGATGGTCTCCTTCATACCCGCCCGGACCCGCCCTAAACCCTGAACCCCGAAACCCTCAACCCCATAACCTAAACCCTAATCCCTACACCCTAAACCCTAAAACCCTGAAGCCCTAGACCGTAATGAAAACCCCAGACCCCAAGCCCTAAAGCTTCTGTCTCCTTTAAAGTCTGAAGCCCTAAACCCTAAACCTTATATACTGTTATACTAGAATTTATGGTAAAGGAACCCCCCCCAAAAAAAAGAAAGTAGTATTGTCAACTTTTTGGGCTTCTAGACTAGAAAGCCCAGGCACGGCAGTTGCGATGGTCTCTTTCACGCAGTTGGCGCTGCGCTACCTGATCCTTCTCTACCTGGAGCGATTCCTTCCAAGCTGGATGCAAGGCTCCCGGGCGGTACCCAGAGAGCCCAATACTTACGGCTGTAATTCAGAGAGCCCAGTACCCCCTTATCTAAGGGATATACCTTAAATTATAGGGGCCTTAATATTATGATTTTAAGGTCTATTCCTTAGCCCAAGACAAATTAACCCGGAAGCAAAGAGGGAAGCAGATGCCAAGCCAAAGACCACAGACAGCCTCGGTGGCCGAGGCTACATCGAGTTCCCGTTGAGTACAATCGAGTCTAGGTAGGCCTTTGGGATATTTTATATTTTCCCTTATTGGGCTTAAGAGGACCCTATTTACTAATATTTTTCAGAGGCTTTAAAGGGCCAACCAGGAGTCCAGTGTGCAAAACACTGTGCTTATCATGTACGCAATGGGGGCGGTGCTGCTTGTATCGTGTCCAGTTTGGTGCAAAGGCTTCCAGGTAGTGCATCTGGGTCCTTGTTGGCTACCATTTTACATTTTTGTTATACGTAATAAAAAGCAATAAGGAATAACCATAATCACTTTTTAAATATAGCCGCAACACAAAAACCAGGCATGATGTGCTCCAGAGAGACAACCACCTGAGCAAGTCGGAAGCGATCATGGAGATTCTGTCGCCCTGCTGGACGCTATTTAGGGTTTAGGGTTTAGGAAATCAGAAGCCTAACGCAGAAGGAGGCCCTTACGTGTTTTTAGTCGCTCGTAATCTGTTCCTTGTAGTCCCTGTATACTCAGGGTACATTGCCCCAAAACCCTATTCGAACTATTAAGGCCGCGTAACTAGGCCTAGCGCGGCTGGCAAAGCTTTGCAGCAACTCTTACACCGCTTGATTTGTCGGATTCGGGGTGTATTTAGACCCTAAGCCCTGAACCCCTAAACTTCAGTGCGAGCCATGATCCCAGGTACACCACGTCGCAAAATGCGGTCGTGACACAGCTACAGACGGCATTGGCTATTCTGCAGATGAACTGTGGCTACCCGCACCACTATGTAGGGGCCGAAATAAGTAGTACTGTTGTTCCCTTCGGTTTCCTTAGTACGATCATTGTCATAGTACAATGTAACTTTGTTAAGAGTAATATTTTTCCTTAGGGTTCCTTATTGCAAGTATGGCATCATGTATCTTAACACCCTCTACGAATTAGTAAGGCTACCCGTACCACTACATCCACTATGCCGTGGTGATGGTCGAGCACATGTTTTTTCATCGCATGGTGGAGTTCAAGTTTGCGTGGCTTCACAAGTTGTGCCACGAGGTTCAGCCCTTGTACCGCCTGGCTCACTTGGAACATCATATCTGCAAGGGTACCTATGCAACCACTCCAGCAGCTGGAATTTGGGAAGCATGGCTAGAAGGCGGCACTCTCTTCTTCTGCAACAGCCTCGCCTGCATTCCTTACCTTCTCTTCCACGCTGCATATTCCGGTCCTAATGTGGTAACTCATACGATGTGGCCGCACAAGTCGTGCATTCAGTGGCACACACTTCACCACTTGGTACATAGTGATGTCTATGCCATCAATGTTCCCAGCAAGATGGACAAGCAGTTCTCCAGGGACGTGAAGCAGTATCAGGAGAGGCTGCAGTGCTCGTTCTTTGTGCGCTACGCTGATGCCTCGGATGGGATCGGATTCCTAGTAGCCTTCGCGTTCGGCATCCTCCTGAACTATGGGTTTAGCGTCGGGATTTTCCAGGTGTGGCACGAACGAATGCTTCATATGACAGCTTGATGTGACCAAATTTTGAGATCTGTCGGAAGGACTGTTCAAAAGATCGTCTTCCAGCTTAACCCTAAACCCTGGACCTGAAACTGCTCTAATGGCAGGGTCACAGAAGAGCGATTCTTGGCTGCGGTTCTTCCGACGGATCGACCTCACCACCTCTTCAGCTCATCTCTGCAGCGCAGGTGACTATTGCACCAAATATTGGTGCCTTGCCCTTGCAGCTCTCGCAGAGCAAGGGTTTGGAGTGTCGAATTTCCGCTCCTAGACCTGAGAGCGTACAGAAGGAATGCGGCACACCTTGGCTTCTTGGGGGTTGAAGGGGTTAGTGACACGGGTTCTTTGTTCCTCATTATAGTTTTAGGTTTAGATATGCCCCAAAAGCCCTATTCCATTCATTCAGGCCCATTTATGAAACCCTGTATAACCTCTGAAAACTTCCAGTGCAACCTCTGAAAGCCGTACAAATAATCAACCCAAAAAGCCCCATCAAAAGCAGGATTCAAGGACTCATGGAGCGGATGTTTGCTGCTAGAGTTTTGAGTTTTGACAGGTCTTTCGAAGGCTTTATAGAGTTTAAAACCCTAAACCCTAAACCCTAAGCCCCTAAACCCTAAACCCCTAAACCCTAAACCCCTTAACCCTGAACCCCTTAACCTAGAGGCCCAGCCCTGAGAAATTGAAATTGGAATATGGGTAGTTCTCTAAATTGGGGTCCCTTTCAGGGTCCTCTTTACAAGGGTGCCGCAATACATTGGGGACCTAAAAAGGGACCCTAGTTTAGCGAACTACCCCTATGATCTTGGGGGAGGACGACAAGGGCATGTGATTGAATTGTTTAGGGTTTTGGTTTTAGGGTTTAGGGTTTAGGGACCAAGGTAAGATGTCAGGAAAGAAGGCAGCACTCCATGCACGTGCTGGGAACCCAACATTGTGCCAACGTACCATCAATTCGCTCCTGCATCTCAATTTCTGGGTCGTTTAGGGTTCAGGGTCTTTTCGCGCAAGCTCCACACCCTTCTTAACGGGCTTACGGTTTAGGGTTTGGGGTTTAGCGATTCAGCAGGTAAGACTATGGAAGCCTCATGCTGCCCGAATAGAATATTTCCTGAATGCGGTCATAGGGCAATTCGCTTTTGGTAACTCTTACTGCAAGGGATCTGTACAGAAAAACTACACCCTCATTCAACCCGATTAAAAAGTCGTGCAAACCTCACAGAGCCATGACTTGCATAGTCATGTATGTCAAGCACGCTATCGGGTAAAACCCTCAACCCTAGTTTAAGCCCCCAAACCAAGCTACGAGTTTTACGCAAGAAGCCATAGACCCAACCCTAAACCCCTAAACCCTAAACCCTTAACCCGAGACTAAGCCATAAACCCCAGACCTTCAACTTAAAATAAGCCTACACCGGCTGAGGCCTGGACCGCCTCAGCCAAGATGCCCAGCTCCGAGCAAGACTTTGGGATCGGGGTGGAGGTTCAAGGATTCAAGGTGTTCGGTTTCCTAAACCCTAAACCCCAAACCCTAAACCCTAAACCCCACACCCCAAACCGTAAACCCTAAACCCCACACCCCAAATCCTAAACCCTAAGCCCCAAACCCTAAACCCTAAGCCCCAAACCCTAAACCCTAAACTCCAAACCCTAAACCCCAAACCCTAAACCCCTGCATGGGCCGCCCCTTGGCCTTTGGCCGCCCCCGTTCTAGCACGGGACCCCGGGACCCCACCAGGAAGTGAAGTGAAGGAGCTTTCCGGTTTGAGGATTTCAAGATTTCGGGATCGGGTTAAGGGTTCGGGGTTGAGGGTTAAGGATTCAGGATTTAGGGTTCAGGATTTTGGGTTTAGGGTTCAGGGTTTAGGGTTAAGGGTTCAGGATTTATTCCTTTTTTTTTAGAACCAGGGTTGAGGACTTAGGATTTAGGGCTTGGGGTTTCGAGGCTGGGGTTCTGGGTTGAGGGTCGATTTAGGGCTCGGCGTTTAGACAGTACGCTTTACGGTTGCGGGTTTAGGGTTTAGGGTTTAAAGTTTAGGGTTTAGGGATTAGAATTTGGGGTGCAGGACCCCGAAACTGGGGGTTGAGGCTCTAGGACATTTTCAGGGGGGTAGTTACCGTTATAGGAGCCTTTTTGTTGGTCTACGTACCTTATAGAAGCCTTATAGAAGCCCTATATACCCTAAACTCTCCACCTGTAGTTTCCTTTAAAGCTGGGGTTGAGGGATTCGGCTTTAGACAGTGGCGCAGCTGCCGGAGGTCGAGATGCAGAAATCCCTGAACCGCTTTCCCTAGAACCCTAACCCTAAACCCTAAACCCCTAAACCCCTAAATCCCTAAATCCCTAAACCCCCAAACCCCTTAACTCTAAAACCCTTAACCCTAAACCCATACTAAACTTAAGGGCGCTCTGAAACCATTTCTAACGTTCTAAACACTCCGTCCTGACACTCCGCGCACGGGATCAACAAAGACTGCATGGCAGATCGCACGGGGCAATCCAGCAAGTATGCTGTGCACATCGGCGAGCTTGTCATCGCAAGCAAAGCCGCCCCTGGATATGAGCACCGCTGTGCAAGCATCTTGCACAGTCCACACCCAGGACTTGAAGCGCAAATACGACCAGGTCAAAAATCAGCAGCTCCAGGAGAAACCGAACATGCTGCTGCAGAAATTGTCCGAGGCCTTCGTGAAAACCGGACACACAGAGAAGGACTGCGTAAGCGTTTAAGGGTTGAGTGGTTTAGGGGTTCGCAGTGACTCCATCTTCCTTCCCTTTGTTCTCATTCAGGATTTAGGGTTGGAAGATGCCTTCAATTGGGGGGGGGGGGTCTTACATATGATGGGTTAAGGTGGTTTCGTGAGTCATAGGCTTTCAACCATAATCTTAATCAATTGCCGCTACAATTCAGGTATCTTCCTTCATTAAGGGGCCCCTTGGGCTCTTTTTGGAATGCTTGACCTTGAAGTGGAGAGTCTATGGATGTCTTCAACACTACGGCTGACAACCCGGAAAACGTACTACCCCGCCATTTGGGATTTTCAAGTTTAGGGTTTGGGGTTTAGGGTTTATGGTTTGGGGTTTGGGGTGTAGGATTTGGGAGTTGAGTTTAAGGGTTTGGGGTTTGGGGGGCAAAGGTGAGGCTGTTGAAGTGGGCATCCCATGCAGGGCTTCACTGCTGAATCTTCGGAGGCGGCTCTGCTGATGATGAAGGCGACGCGCAATGTGATGATGCTGGTGGTGGCTGTGGTGGTGGTGGTGGTGGTGGTGGCCCTTAGCCCTAAACCTTAAACCCCAAACCCTAAACCCCTAAACCGTGTGGTTGGATGATGTTCATGATTATACCCGACGCTGCCCTACGAAGGATCGGGATCCCTGGACATCTGGATCAAACCTTAAACCCCAGACCTAAACCCGAAGCCCCAAAGCAAAACCCTAGACTCAACACCTTAAGCGGAAACCCGAAGAGCCCAAAGCCTAAACCTTAAACCCCAAGCACACCCTTCTTGGCCAGTGCGGGGCTCGAGCTTGTAGCAGGCCGCAACCCCCTCGAAATGATAGGACAATACCAGTAACATAGGGACCTGAATTTGCAATACTAGGTTTTTCACGTTTCCTTCACATGACTATACCATAACATACCCAGAACCCCATGCCAATGATTGGGCCTAAACCCTGAACTACTAGCCCAGCCAATGAGGAGAGAGGACCAAGAGCTTGGACTCATTCAGCCCAGGGTTGCAAAGATAGCAGGAATCATGGTACTAGTGCTGTCGTTTCCTTGCTGACAGCCCCACTTTCAACTACCCATGAACCTCCAAGTAGTAGCGACCTTCCGCATTTTCTAGAAGCGCGGCCTCTTCTGGATTTTCTCGCATCTTTTCAAAGCAATGGATGCACGTCCATGGGCTGTGCTGTTCTTGAAAGCTGCGTTGCTGGTTTCTGCAGAGCTTTGCCTGCCTGATGGAATCCTTGCAAGCAGCAGGAGGTACCTGGGTTCTCGTTAAAGAGTGTGTGTTTCAGTCACTGCAATAGTGAAAGCCTGTTTGCTTACAACAATGTCCCCGTCCTGATGTCTTGGAGTCTTTAGATAGAGTTCCTGCACCCTAAACCCTAAGCCCCTAAACCCACAAGAACCCAGGTATCTTCAGGAGCCCGTGGATGGCCCTGATGGAGTCAATGCCACTGCACTGAGGATGGTGGTTTACGACTGGCCCTCTGCCGAGGTTGCCACCGAGCTGACGGCTATCCTGCTGTCAGAGGTGGTATCAAGGGCTTTGACAGCGGTGTGCTACGGTTTTTTTGACGGTTTTGCAAGGATTGCAGACTCCTAAACCCTGAACCCTAAACCCCAAGAAACCCTAAGCCCCAAAACCCTAAGAGCTCAACTCTGAACCCTAAACCCCGAATCCTCAAGACTCCCAAGTCGAGAAACCCCCAGAGGTCCTGGGCTACCATGTAGAAATCAATGCTCAGAAGACGACGGGATCAGTTGAAAGCGCTTTGCAGCTTGCCGGCTGTGTTTCCTTCGACTGCTTAGAAAGGTCACTTGGTCAGCGGAAGGTTTTTTTTGGGGGGGTTTTGGGCGTAGTCGCACTTGAGCGGGCCATAGAAAAGCATCTTTCTAAGCCCTGAACCCTAAACCTAAACCCTGAACCCTAGACTCAGGCAGAGGCGCAGCCATGTTGCTATGGACAGCTGGTTAGCAGGATTACCCGGTGAGCTCGCGAACTTTGAGCGGACGCATCCCAACCTGGCCGCCAGAAATTTAGGCTCCATGGGGTGCCTTTGTCATGAAGATTTTACATTCTTACGGTTGATGATATAAATCCTGCATTACCCATACTCAGGACTATAGCATAATTCCCATAGTTTAGGGTCATAAAGGCAATGCAGGATTTATGTTATCAACAGTATGGGTATTTAAACCCAAGAAGGAATAGAAGCTTACTCTAAGCCCTGGCCCTGAACCCTAAATCCTAAACCCTAAACCTTCTAAAAATATCCCAACCATGGACTAAGGTACATCGGCTCGGACACACTTTACGTGAAAGGGCCCGGCCGTGACGACGCCTACTACACGTCTGGGCTAGCACTGGATTTCTACAAGAGTTACAACACATCGCTGCAGCGCGGATTCATTGGGTAATGCCCCTCAACCCAACCCCAAAGCCGAATGCCTAAAGAAATAGGGTTTAGGGTTCCTAAAACCCGGCCCTAAACCCTAAACCCTTGCAGCGTTTCGGGCTACAGATGAAGCCCGGATTTATCGAAGTTTGTTGGGCATGCAGGGTTAAGGGGTGGAGCTCTAACCCCTAAACCCTAAGCCCTACGCCCCACACCCTAAGCCCTACACCCTAAACCCTAAGCCCTAAACCCTAAACCCTAAACCCTAAACCCTGTTGTTCTGGATGAGATTCCTGATATTCAACAACGTGATCCTGGAGGCTCCTCGGTAGTTAGAAGTGGGCTTTACAAGTAGGGCACCCATACTTAGATAGCCAATAGGAGAACTTTTTACTTTTTGGCCTTATATATTATGACTATCCTAAAAAGTTTGAACTGTTTTGGGCTTGGCTATTGAAGAAGAGAGCATAATCATAGCCCCACCTGAGGGGACTTATATAGATAACCCCACATAAAACTGCCCATGAACCTCCAAATAGACCCTAAACCCAGAATCCCTATAGAACCCTTAAGTGACAGGAACCATGGCTACCCATGAACCTCCAAGTAAGCCACCATGGCGAAACGACGAACCCTTAACCCTAAACCCTAAACCCCTAAACCTTAACCCTTAAACCCTAAACCCGACCATCCCAAGAGGTCGTCGCGCAAGAGCCTCTAGGAAGACAGCAAGCCCTCAATTAGAGTCCCTCTTTAGGTCCAAAAGGGACCCTAATTTAGAGAACTACCCATCTACCCCAAAACCTTACCCTAAGGCTCATGGACCCCTATAGTGAAAGCCCAAACCTTAGCCCCCAAAGCACAAACCTTCCCTTAGAAAGCCCATAACAGCAATAAGAGCCTTAGGGTACAGCCGAAATCACCAATTTAGGGTGGTTCCTAAACCCTAAACCCTGGCCCCAAACCCTAAACCCTAAACCCTAAACCCTAAACCCTAAACCCTAAACCCTGGCCCCAAACCCTAAACCCTTTAAGCCTGAACCCTAAACCCAAAGGTCTGCTGCTTGGAGGTTCATGGCTAGTTATAAGTGAGTTCCAATTAAAGGTCTCTATAAGGGTACTACAAGGGTTAAGGGCTTTAGGGCTTTAGGGTTATATAGGGTTCCTTTAAAGGCTCTATAGGGTTTAGGGTTTAGGGTAGTTATAAGTGGGTTTAAGGTAGGGCTCCTTTAAGGGTCCTATAAGGGTTTAGGGGTTTAGGGGTTTAGGGGTTTAGGGGTTCATGGGTAGGTATAAGTGGGCTTATAAGTCCCCTAATTTGGGTAAAAACTTACTATAGGTACCCTACTTATATCTCCACGTACAACTACCCATGAACCTCCAAGTGGGCCCGGTCTCCCTAACGTCAAGCCCAGGCACGATCCTGCGAAGTTCTTCAGCAAGGTTGGGGGCCACAGTGTGAGGGTTTAGCATTTGGGTAGTTCTCTAAAGAAGGGTCCCTTTTTAAGGTCAGGTCCCCAATATAGTACCGCACCCTTATAAAAAGGACCCCCACAAGGGACCCTAATTTAGCGAACTACCTATAAAAGAACTCTTTAGGGTTTAGGGGTTTAGGGGTTTAGGAGTTTAGGGGTTTAGGGGTTTAGGGGTTTAGGGGATTTAGGGGTTTAAGTGTTTAGGGGTTTAGGGTTTAGGGGTTTAGGGTTCAGGGCATGGTGCGCATCATGAGCAGAACAGCAAGTCGGGGTATACTACAGTAGCACCATATAGGGACGATAAGGTGATGCGGTGACTAATTATTCAGTGATTCGGGCCAGTCTGCGTCGACTATTCGTCGTGGTGCTTTCGCTAATGTCTTTGTCACAAACACGCTTCTGCGCTGCAGTCAAAACATTCAAATCCTGTGCTATCCAGAGAGTCGAGTACCCCCTAATGAAGGAAAAATACTTTTAACCCTGAACTCTAAACCCTAAACCCTGAACCCTAAACCCTTCACCCTAAACTCTAAACTTTAAACCCTAACCCTAAACCCTAAAACCCTAAACCCTAAACCCTAAAGCCCCAGACCCTAAACCCTGAACTCCAAAACAGCACCCAAACCCTCAACGAACCCTAGGCCCCAAATCCTAAGCCTCAAAGGCGGCTGAATGACCGAAACCCAGACCCCCCAGGCCTTGTAAGCCCTCATGAAGCCGGTTTAGTAGGGGTTGAGGGTTGAGGGTTTAGGGGTTTATGGGTTTTAGGGGTTCAGGGGTTTAGGGGTGTAGTGGTTTAGGGGTTTAGGGGGTTTAAAAAGTTTAGGGGTTTAGGGGTGTAGGGGTTTAGGGTTTAGGGGTTTGGAAAGTTTAGGGGTTTAGGGGTGTAGCGGTTTAGGGTTTAGGGGTTTAGGGTTTGGGTTTGGGGTTTAGGGGTTGAGGGTTTAGGGTTTGGGGTTTAGGGTCTCCCTCCTAAACCCAAGAAAGATCCTACACACTCACCAAGGCCTCATGAAACCCCATGTGTGTACTTATCGGTATATGTACGTATGCATGCATGCATGGATGGATATGGATATGGATATGGATATGGATATGGATATGGATATGTATCTGTTTATGGATATGTGTTTGTATACGTATACGTATAGGTATCAGTATATGTATATGTATATGTATATGTATATGTATATGTATATGTATATGTATATGTATATGTATATGTATATGTATATGTATATGTATATGTATGTATGTATGTAAAAATGTATGTATGTATGTATGTATGTACGTATGTATGTATGTATGTATCTATGTATCTATGTATCTATGTATCTATGTATCTATGTATGTACATACAGAGAGATGTATGTATATTTACATTATGTATATATATATGTGTATAGGTTGAGATTTATAGATATAGATACATATCGTTTTTTGAATAAAGCCTTAGGTCACTGAGCTGGATACGGCTGCATTTGCCCCCTGCAACTCGAGCGAGCACGAGTTCACCAACGATGCGCAGATGAGGCCGGGAGCCAGACAAACCAAGCCAGCGTCCCTTTCAGGCCCTACAGCACTAAAACCCTAAACACAAAACCCTAGAACCTTAACTCTAAACCCTAAACTGGCCTTAAACCCCAAACTCGAAACTCGAATCCTAAACGCTGAACCATACACCCAAAGGCCAAACGCCTGAAGTAGGGGCTTGGGGTCTAGGGGTTTGGGTGTAAGATGTAAGGTCTGAGGGTTTTTGGGGTTGAGGGTTTAGGCTATGGAGCACGGATCCACGCCTGGGGCTTTTTGTAGGGCTTTACCCGAGAGCCCTCTCAATGAAGGAGCAGACATTAAATTATCGGGGCATTCATCCAAGCCATGCTGAGGCTTTAGAGCTTGCGGTGTCGGGTTGGGGCCGTGGGTCCCTAAACCCTAAACCCTAAATCCTAAACCCTATCCTGAACCCTGGAGCCTTAAAATCCTATGGAAACCCTACAAGAACAACTCCGATACCCAGAGAGCACCATACCGATCACGTCTTGAAACCTCAACCCTAAACAGGTTCATGGGTTTAAGGCTTAGGGTTTAGGGTTCACTTGGAGGTTCATGGGTAGTTAGAAGTGGGGTTACAAGTCCCTTAATACGGGTTACATTTACAGTTAGCCTACTTATAACTCCACTTATAGCTATCCATCAACCTCCAAGCATGGATAGTTAGAATAGGGTTTAGGGTTTAGGAGTTTAGGGTTTGGGGTTTTAGGGATCACAAGTGTGGTCAGAAGTAGCGTAAGTGCAAGTACAATCAACCCATATCCGGGTACTTCTAACCCGACTTATAACGACAAGTAGGCCCGAAACCACCAAAGAGGTTGTATCGCTGAAACCCTAGACCCTACACTAAAAACACCCAAAACCTAATCCCTGAAGCCCAGCTTCAGAAGGGCTTCTCGTGTTTGCACTCCGGCCGAAACCCTAAACCGTAAACCCTAAACCACCAAGAGGTTGTATCGCGAATGGACGGGAGACGGGGATGGCGTGCGCGAGACTGGAGCTGGATTCATGGCGAACTGCGTCGACGGCTACTTCTGGCCCTCCCCAGTTCCTGGGTTCAAGTTTAGGGTTTAGGGTTTAGGGTTAAGGGTTTAGGGTTTAGGGTTAAGGGTTTTGGGTTTAGGGTTTAGGGTAAACCCTAAACCCTAAGACCTAAACCCTAAAGAAGGAAACCCTGAACCCCTGGTTGAGGGTTTTAGGGTTTAGGGTTTCTGCTTTAGGGATATTCAGCGTGCAGGGTTTCCTTGATTTATGACACCCCCAACGCTTAAGGGTTTAGGGTTTAGGGTGTAGGGTTTAGGGTTTTAGGGTTTAGGGTTTAGGGTTTAAGGTTTAGGGTTTAGGGTTGAGGGTAGTAAGAAGGCCGCACTCGGGATTGAGATGCTAAGGTAGGAGGGGAATGCCTTTCCGGAAGGCCACTTTGGTTTAGGTTCCAGGGAAACCCAGGTGCTATGCCTAAGTCTTGCACCCCAAAACAGAGGAGGTATTGGGGGTGTCAGGGTTTGTTCAAACAGAGGGAATCCAAGAGCAGAAACAGCGTTGCAAAAGCCCTAGCATTAAATCCCGAAGCTCTTTGACAGAAACATCTGGGGGTTTCGGGTTTGGGATTTGGCATTTTCTTAAACCTTACGTCCAATGCCAACCTTAAACACTGAACCCTACACTCTAATTCGCTTAGGGCCAACCCAGGCTTGTCGCCACAACATCTCGGAATGCATTCCCTTGCTGGCCGCCGGCTTTGGATGGAATGTTTACGTGGCTTCGTCTGAGCACTTGGGGTCTAAGCTCTACATCCTAAATCTCTTTATCCCTTAACTAGGAACCCTATACCTTAAGCCCTAAATCCTAAACCCTAAATCCCTAAACCCCTGAACCGCTAAACCCTAAACCCTAAACCCTGAACCCCATTCTACAGTGTATGCCTCGTTTGGCGGGTTTTTGACTTTCGTCGCGGCGGAGTTAAGAGACCATTGCACTTTAAAAGAAATCCTAAACCCCTGAACCCCTAAACCCTAAACCCTGAACCCCAATCCCGAGGCCCTCAACCCTAATCCCCTGAGCAAAACCGCACATCCGCAAAGGGGAGGGGGGGGAGGGGGTTGTTGGGCGGCGGTTCTTTGAGGCCTCGATCAGGTTTTGTTAGGGCTCTATAAGGGTTTAGGGTTTAGGGCGGTTCGAGACAAGTTCTTTCAGGGTTCTGTAAGGGTTATCAACTAACTGGGGGTGTCCAAGGTGCGAAGTATTGAGCACTGAACGCTGTTCCGTTGTAGTTGCATTGAGACGGTCTTTTTGGGGCGAAGGGAACGTGCGGTCCCCTAAACCCTAAACCCTAAACCGTGGTAGTTGCAGGGTCTGTCCATGACGAGTGAATTGAGAGATGGACCTAAGCAGACTTCCGACCTTCCCAGGGAGCCCAATACCCCTTAATTAAGGACAGACCCTAAATTATCGTGATCTTTTAAAAAGGAAAAACTTTAAATTATAGGGGCCTCCAAATCCTAAACCCTAAACCTCAACGTATATTCCTTCATTAAGGGGTATTGAGCTCTCCGGCTTTCTGAGTGCGTTGTCTGCATGTTTTTTGCCCAAAGATTAGACGCTGAACCCGAATCCCGCACCCCTAAGCCCTAGACTCTAAACCCGGAGTTCTAAAGTTTAGGGTTTAGGGTTTAGGGGCCTACACCCTGAGCCCAAGACGAGATTCTTGAGCCAAGGTGTTCATGCAATGGTCAACTTTCTTTGAGATGCCGACAGCAATTGGCATCCCCAAGAGCGAGGAGTGAGTTTAGGGTTTAGGGTATAGG